TGAACCCCAAATACCTTGTACTTTCTACTTCTTACATGTGAACTCAAATACCTGTACTTTTCTACTTCTTACAGGTTGAACTCAAATACCTGTACTTTCTACTTCTTACATGTTGACCACAAATACCTGTACTTTCTACTTCTTACATGTGAACTCAAATACCTGTACTTTTCTACTTCTTACATGTTGAACACAAATACTGTACTTTCTACTTCTTACATGTGAACTCAAATACCTGTACTTTCTACTTCTTACATGTTGAACTCAAATACCTGTACTTTCTACTTCTTACATGTTGAACTCAAATACCTGTACTTTCTACTTCTTACATGTTGAACTCAAATACCTGTACTTTCTACTTCTTACATGTTGAACTCAATACCTGTACTTTCTACTTCTTACATGTTGAACTCAAATACCTGTACTTTCTACTTCTCTACATGTTGAACTCAAATACCTGTACTTTCTACTCTCTCATTTTCCAAACAGCTGGTTCCTTTAGTCTGAATGTGTGTTTGATGCGTGATCATATTCTTTAGAGTCATTGCGTGCCTATTGATTTGAACACGATCCGTGTATCCATCATTTCCTGCTCTTCTCTAAAGAAGAGGGACCAATGGAAACGTTTGTCATGTTGCCGTTGTTCAGCATGGAAACATTCATTAGCTACAATGACATTATTGTTCTATTAATATAAAGGGATGGTCAGGTACTCTTTAAAACAGCTGCTAGTGATGGGCACTTTTTTACTGAAGTACACTTCAAAGCCTCTTTACTTTTACTTGAGTAAAGAAGTTTTAGTCAGTACTTCTACTTTCACCAGAGTATTTTTAAACACGAGTATCTGTACCTTCTACTTGAGTAAAGGACGTGTGTACTTTTGACAGCTCTGGTGTGGATTACCGGAACATTCCTATGGCTTCAAAAGAGGTGCGGTTGCAACATGGAGAAGGTTCTGCGGATCACCTACTAGTCCTGAGTATAATGAGCTTTCCACACAGGCAGTCTAATAACCGCTATATGTCACATTGAGGGCCAGGTCGTGAGGAATGAGAAGTCTGAGAGGAGCTGACTTTGGTTTCGGAGGAGAGCATTCATCAGGTGCTTCTCAGGGTTGTAATGTGAGGGAAGACACTCTGCTGACATCTAGAGGCCATTACTGGTATTGCTTCTCACTGAGAGAAGACAAACTAGTGCCATGCAGTGAAGAGTGACACAAGCTGACCTAAGAAGAATACAAACCTTTAGAAAGACACTACATATTTTGTATTTATGGTGTTTATGTATGTCTTATTGTTGTGCTTTGTGTATGTTCTATCTAGCGTTGTGTGTCAAACACTGGGTTGGGTTCAAACACTTTAAATAAAGTGTTCTACAAAGTAAGAAGAGTGATACTCCACAAAATGACAATTATCGAATACATTATATATCTTTTAGCAAACAAGAAAGCTCTCACTCTTGTTATTTGTTGTTTACTTTGATATATCAGCCTCTTATTTGCATGTATTAGCGGGCCTGGGTAACAGGATGTATGCAACGGGATTATTAAGTAATCAGGAAACTGTATTCACTTACAGTTCAATAGAAAAGATGTAATCAGATTAATACATTCCTAAAACTTGGATTATTATGTGTGTACTTCTACACACAAAGGATCAGATGTTATCTCTTCTCTGTAGCTGTTCTGTTCTGTAGGATAATACTTTACGTGTGAATCTATACTTCTACTGCCTGAATCTGCTTCATGGTTTCTTTGCTTCCTTTGTTCTGTTTTTAATTCGGCAGGTGAACCTATATGTTCATCAAATAGTGTGTGTGAGCTTAACTGTGTGTGTTCAACTCAAACGGAGGATTTTCTGATTTTTTTCAGCTTTTTTAAGAAAATCTCTGATCCTAAATATCTTGGTTTCTTCTTTTCGAAGGTCACATTGTTCTGTTGTTTTACAGGGGTGTTCAAATCAACATTAAAAAATGGGTGCTAGTGGAGGGCCGGACTGGTTCAATGTTCATTGCAGAACTTATTGAAATGAACTTATTGCACATATTAAACCTGGAACTAACAAAGCTTAAATGATTGCCTATAAAAACAACATTAAATAATCAGCTGCATTCATTTCTTATGGCTCTATCTGCAGCTTTTCTGAGTCATTTCTTATGAGTACATTTTCCCACAGGCCAACAACAGCTTCAACAAAACTATTCCCTCAAAGAGAAACCAAACATGCCCTGTTGTCCTGAGAGAAAGTGCAGAAGGAAACATCCATTGAACTCAGTGTGCTGCTCTGTGATGCTAGCTCAGATACTTGGCATCTCATCTTGGGTGCAAGGTCATCAATGTTTGGGCTCAGGCTCTGAGCGGAGGAGACCCTCAGGATGGAGTGAAGGTGTGCGTGCAATATACCGGCGGGCCAGATCTAATAGGAATTAGAAATTATCCTGCGGGCCGAAATTAAATCCACCAAGGGCCTGATTTGGCCCCCGGGCCTCGAGTTTGACTCGTGTATCTAACATAATACACACATTTTTCTTTTCGCTTGATTGCATTTGATATTGAGGTCATCCAACCGTAACGGAAAGTAATCAGGTTACAAAACTTTGTTGAAACAAGTGTATCTATAGAGGGAAGGATTGTGGAACTTTAATTTCAAATTGAACTGATAATCTTTGAGGAAGAAAAACTGCACTAAGCTTTAGATTATACAAATCCCAAATAAATAATAATGTATCTTTCTTTGAATTTTCAAAACAACATTATTTCAAAGAGCCTAATTCATTTCACTGCCAGCAAGAGTCTTAATGTTTAAGACAGTCCGGGCGTACCCTCCTTCCTTTACAATCATTTCACTTGAACAAAGTGTCTCAGTCTTTAAGAGCAGGTTCAGCTTTGCTTTGAGATCATGTTTGAAATAACGCAGCTCAGGGGTGTCCAAACTACGGCCCGGGGGCCAAATGCGGCCAGCGGACCATTTTTAATCGGCCCTCACTCAGCAAATTAAAGAAGTATAATGACTTAAGTATAATAAACTTCTGCTTGTCTTACTTCTTAAATATATGTTCAAATATATGACACAGTATTCACGTGTTAATAGGTCCACGTATCAAGAATAATGTACCTACATTGGATTGACTTTTCCAACTTATAACAGAACTTATGAGGCAAAATATCTCTAGTGAGTGGCCCCAGCCCTTCGTATATTTTTCTGTGTGTGGCCCTCGGTGAAAAAACTTTGGACACCCCTGATAGAGCTTTGATAAGGATGAAGGTTGGAGTTTTTCGTATTTTAGTTTGCCAATATGGTAGATTGTTTGTCATCCTATATGTTCCTCTGTAAACTTGGCTGATTACAAATGTTGATACTCGGCCTGTTACACTTCCTCCAATCTAAGCACATTGAACTGGATTCCAGCAAAGGATTGAGATTGAATGTGTTTCTGCATCTGGCTGAAACTTAGCTTTTTCCACCTCCTCTCAAAACAGAGCGTTCCTGATCTCTGGGGTTTGTCAAAAAGCACTCAGGAAACCTCTGTGCCGACTGAAATATAACAGATTAGATGGGGTTTAAATAACTCACCAAAGGGTGTTTAATATACTGAATCTGCTCAATGTTTGCTTTTCTCCATTTTCTAATGATTTGTTCTGAATTGAAATATAAGTTGATGGGGTGGCGAGGGATTTAAAGCAGTTTTGTAAGTCTTAATGAACTGAGCTTTTGCTTGAATGCCAAGTACTTATATGTGTCCCGCTCTCTTGAAATCAGTGGGATGTAACAAACACCTCATTTTGAAATATAAACGTGGATTCATGTCAAGAACTCGTGTCGATTTGGGGTTTTTGGTTGATTTTCAAGTCTTTGCAATATTCAGATGATAAAAACATTTTTGAAGCTAGTAAAGGCAGAATGACAACCTTCACATCTTACTCTACTTAGCCCCAATTGTGGTCCCAATGGGGGTGTTTCCAGGGGTACTTATCCCCTATAATATGAAGCTTGGAGCCCCCTCTTTAAATAACTTTGGCTTGTATATTTTTAAGAATGTACTTCAAGCTTTGAAGGCGTTTTCCTCGTAAACGTGGCTCAGGGGAACAAAAGGATATCTCGAGCGTAGGAGTTATTTATGTGTATTGTTGGCATGTCAGGGAGGCGTGTGGCACAGTGGGTTAATGCGCTGATCTTCGAATCAGAGGGTAGCAAGTTCGAGTCCCAGTGCAGTCAGCATGTCGTTGTGCCCCGAAGACACTTCTCCCCAAATGGCTCCTGTGGGGATTGTCCACAGTACTGAGTATGTTAGTCACTTTGGATATAAAAAAAAAGTCTGTTTATACTGTTTTTATCCTGCCGTATTCTTTTGAACACTTGGTGGCGCTGATTAGACGCACACAGGTGTATATAAGTTACAGGAAACTACAGACTACAGACGCAGCAGATGCTAACAGCTACCACCCAACGACTCACAGACAGAATGAAACCGTGTTATTGTACAACCTCTTCAAAAAACCTCAAACTAAAATGGATCCAACCACTGGAAATTCATCGTCTGTTTTTGTCTGCGTATGATCCCTTTCCCCATTCATCGGTGTATTAATTGAACTTGCAAAGAGGACATTGGGACACGTTAAGACCAGCTACGAATCCCCTCTTTCCAACAGTGCATGAAACTCAAAATGAGTTTAATAATACATTTAATTGTTATAGCGCTTTCCCCAGAGCTCAAAGACGCTTTAAGTGTCAATATGAGCGGTTCGGATAGAGCACATCACACATGACCTTTTTTAAAGGTAATGTTCACGGTTGTGTTTGTTTGTCAGCAGGATTTCAGAGAAAGTACCAACCTTATTTTCATGGAACTGAGTAGAAAGGTGTTGCATTGGCCAAGGAAGAAGCCGTTTAATTTGAGAGTAAACACGAAACATTGAAGGCTTACTGTTAGAAACGACCTCTGTTGGGATCAGCGCTCTCCAAATGCCCCTCTACGTATTGATGATTAAATGTTGTTCTCACCCTCTCCCGCTGTTTATCTTTCATCTTCTGGTTCTCCTCGTCCTCCTCTTGCCTCTTCTTCTTGTCCGCCTCCTGCTGTTTCAGCTTCAAACACACATATTTTGTATTTATTGAGCTGACGACAAAGCGACCTACAATCAGTGCTTTCAACCATGAACAGCTAGAATCCTGCAGGTACATTTGCTTCAATTAAGCCATGAATAGTATTTGTGATTCAACCAAGGAACATCTTTCCTTGCATCTCAACCATATGTTAATACATTGTGTTTCTCACAGAATACATATGACTGTAATCACTCTTAACCCTTGGATGCATATACTCTTCCATAAGTGGGTCAAAAAGGACCCGTATTAGAATAATATGTGTTTTTATGCCATTTTGGTTCAAAAAAATCACGTGTATAATATTTAGTATTATATTTTGGTTCACACTAGAAATATTTAATTTTTCACTATTTAGAATTTTAGAATTGTTTCCCTTATATTTGTCACGATCTGTCTTTATGGTGTTTTGTCTTGTCTTGTTTCATGTTGAAAGGTCTTCACCTCCTGTCTTGCCTGTTTCTGTCTGCGTTGTGTCTTGTCTTGTTTGGATCTGTCTGTGGTTCCCGGTCGTTAGTTTCCCTGGTGTGTCTAATTTACCCGATTGTGTTCACCTGGTGTCCCTGTGTTTTCTCCTCCCTCCTCACCTGTGTCTTGTTTGTGTGATTAGTCTTGTGTGTATTTAAGTTCTGGTTTTTCTGTCTGTCTTTGTCGGTTCGTCTTTTGTCATGACTAGTTCGTCGGTGAGTGTTCTGTTTTGTCTGTGTTATCACCTAGCCTTGAAATAAAGGAACTTTCACTTTAATCTGCATTTGGGTCCTCCCTGCTTCACACACCGTGACAATATTGTAAAGTGATTTTGAGTCCTTGAAAAGCCCTATACAAATATAATGTATTATTATTATTACACTGACAGGCATCAGATCTTGCTGTGTAAAATAATCTTCCTGACTGGCTGTCACTACCCGATCTGCCGCCCTGCCCGATCCGTACTGCGCATGTGCGAGATGGTCCGCCATATTGGACAACTCCGTACGGCAACCCAACTAGGACACTTGACACAGTGGCTTTTGGCAAAGCTCAAAAGGAAAACTCGAGAGAGAGGAGTTATTGTTATTACAACGTGACTTCACTATTATTTAACAACTCTTTTTATTGGGTTCTTTTATTTGGGGTTAAGTACATTGTCAGAATAAGTGAGACATGGATTTAACTGTTAGACAGCTATCATACTGAATACATATTTACTGTGAATGTATGCAAAAATGTATGGCTGTCTAACAGAAGTTAAATCCATTTCTCACTTATTCTGACAATGTACTTAACCCCAAATAAAAGAACCCAATAAAAAGAGTTGTTAAATAATAGTGAAGTCACGTTGTAATAACAATAACTCATCTCTCTCTCGTTTTATTTTTGAGCTTTGCCAAAAGCCACTGTGTCAAGTGTCCTATTAGAGTTGCCGTACGGAGTTGTCCAATATGGCGGACCATCTCGCACATGCGCAGTACAGATCGGGCAGGGGGACGGATCGGGTAGTGACAGAGGTGTCACTTGTGACGTAGTCTGTGTGGTAGAATCAAAGGTTCCCATAGGAAATGCATGCGGGTCATTTTTGACCCACTTATGGAAGCTTGGGGTAGGAATACAAAAACTACAATTTCTTAAAATGTAAATTTAAAATGTGAATGGCATGATATCCAAAACATGTTTTTTGAGGAATAGCTGGAATATGAAATGATAAAAAAGTGTAATTACAGAGATACTCTAAGAAAACGACCTCACTGGTCCAAAAAGACCCACTTGTGCATCTAAGGGCTAAGAGCGTATGAATTGAGTGTATTCTGTGTTTATGACAGTAAACGTGTGAGGAAGTACCTTCTTCTGCAGTTTGGCGTGATGTAATTCTAAATGCTGCTTCTCCCTGACTGCAGACAATGTTGCGTTCCCACCTTGATCAATTAAAACACATGACAACAAATCAGTAAGTAAACAAATGCATAAGCACACAACACATAAGGATAATGTTGTGCAAAAAGCTGATTGGCATGGAGTGTACTCGCTTACCCAGCTTCTCTGAGACGGGCTGCACAGGTTTGGGTTTATTTTCCTCTTTCCACTTCTGAAGCTCCTCCAGTTCTTTCTGAGCCACTGCAGCAACACAGAGCTTTGTTATTCGGGAAATACATTTCAACATGTAGGAACATTATTTGGTATTTGAAGGATGCGATGTCGGCATACTCATTTGAGTCTTGCTTCGTCGGGATTCATTGGGCGGGATCATCGTAAACCCAACTGAGCTGAGGATGGAGACAGAGAGAGAGTGTTAGTGAAACCTTGGTCCTTCATGAAAACTCATAAGTGTCTGCAGCTGTGAGGATACAAAACGTGTAAAAGATAAGACGGTATACTTGGTTTATATTATTCGTCTTGAATCAGATTCGTCCAGGTATAACTTCATTCTGTACTGATAGGCCAATAACTCGTACACGTGTTTTTGGTGTGTAAAAAGCACTAAATACAAGTTTGGAAAGTCTTTCAAACGTAAACAAGTAGATTTCTGTTCCCATGATAAACCCAACTACCTTGGATTTATCATGTGTAAAATGTAGATATATATATATATATATATATATATATTCAACTCCAATATATAGGACAGCTATAGTTACGGGTTTCATGAAAAGATGTAACATACACAAATGAATGCTTAGTACATACAATCAGTGTTGGGTGTAACGCGTTACAAAAGTAACGGAGTTACAGTAATATATTACTTTTTGCTGTAACGAAGTAATGTAACGCATTACTAATTAAATGTGGGTAATATATTACCCACAATGCTCAGTAACGCAGTTACAACACATTTTAACCCGAAATTAAATGGTGTTTTGTTTTTTAAGAATGTACTAACATAGCGAGACATTCCGACACCAGAGACAAATTGTGCGGGTAGATTAGTAACCCTGGTGTTTACCCTTCAGGCTTCACGTCGGGATCTTCGGGCAGTTGAATGTTATGCACCCTCTATTCAAAAATAGAGAACGGAGCGAAAAATACCAACAACAAATTGTGTCAGGTGCGCGTGACCTGCTCCGCTGCGCGTGCATCATTTCCAAAGGGCTTCCACAGCAGTGACACACATCTGGGGATAATCATTTATACGAACATGGTTAAAGCAACCATCACTAAACGCCAGCAACACTGCACCTACTGCAGACAGTAACAGGTCAGATGGGGACATCACGTTACCCTCCGTTGTGGACACTAGCTTACTCCCGCCTGACTCGCCGCCCTCGCCCCCGGAGCAGCAGTCTTCGTCGCCCGAAACCACGCCGCCCCTCTGCGGCCCGCAGGTGCCAGGATACCACGGCAAAACAGAGCCTGCCCAGGTATATCTAAACAAGTACCTGCCTGTACAGTGGGGTTAGGCGGTCATTTTGCAGCTCGTGGTTTACAAATAGACAATGGCTAGAATATTCATGTGAACATAGTGCCATATTCTGCCATGCCTGAAGAAATGTTGGGTCAAACATAATGCATAATAGCACAGATGCCTTCACCACGAATGGCTACAGAAAGATCTCATATCCCAAGCTTATCAACGAGCTGATGTTGCAGCTGAAATGATGATGTGATACCAGTTTTCAAGCACAGTAGATATTCTCTTCCCAGAGTATATGATGGGACCAAGGTGATGATTAGTACATGGTTTTAATAATACTTTTGCTTTTCAATGTTTGCCATTTCAAACCATGAGCTGGTTCAAATATGATTTGCCTTGATTTACAATATTTATATGTTTTCATTTGTTTTATCAGTACAGCTTTGAAGCTTTTGTGCTTTTCTTTGCCACAGTCCACTTTGGACTATATGAGATATTTCAGGATTGCACTTTTAACACACTTGAAATGTTCTCACTTGCTTGGTTTCAAAACATAACAAATGCCATAATCTGTTCATTGGGACCATCAATGCTATTTTTCATTGCTGTTGCCGGCCACTATTGTTCACGTAAACCTGCTACTGCTGCGCCCCCTGTAACCTCAGATGCACCTGAGTCCTTTTGTTCTGGAGCCGGGCCTGTACACGGCCAACACACTACAGAGCCCTTTCCGTGTCCTGTTATTGTTTACTTCCTGTCTGCCTTCTTCTGGTGATTTATCTGACGTCCAGCGCTCCGTCTTTTAACCTCTTTTCCTTTCTCTTTCTTGATCCTCCTTAGCAACCTTCATCATAGTCCTTGACAGTGGTCTGTACTGCTGGATTAACAACGTGTCACATGTTAAGAACTTATAATCAGAATCCAGTATTCAACTAAGCCGTGTAATACAAGTTGTCAGTAGCCTTAAGGGCCTACACAGTTGTTATGCTATAACACATTACCCTTCACTGGATGTATAATGAGCTGCACTAAACCACATTTTAGCATTTCAAATACCTAGCCATTCTTTAGAGGTTATTTTGGTGAAAGTAACTAAAAAGTAATTAAAGTAGTGTAACTCATTACATTTCAGAGACAGTAATATTGTAATGTAACTTATTACTTTCAAAAGACAGTAATAAGTCATATGTAATATATTACATTTTGGAAGTAACTTGCCCAACACTGCATACAATATTAGAATTAGAATACAAGATGGATCCAAACAACAACTTGTGCATCAAAACCATTCAAATGCTATTTCATGAAGACAATAAGTAACGGTTTTATATATCATTGGTTGTTTTCAGTGTTGTTTTATTATAACTTATGTATACAAGTACATTTAACATATGCTTACATGTTAAGATATAGAAGACCTTATAAATATTGTTAACCCTGGTAAAGACCTTTGTTCAAAACTGATGTTGTTTTGGCTAAAAGATGATGAGTAAAATAAAGAATAGAAACGCTGCTTTCATGAATGAGAAATAATAATACAAGTAGGATGCTGCCTTCAATTAAGACACAATAACTTGTTTATCTTGTAAACATTTGACTACGTTGTTTTCAGGTCATGTTGTATATTTCTGCTTTCCTAAAGTGGCCTTTTATTTTTCTATTAGCCCAAATAAATGAAATGATTCATACATTGTATTTGCCGAGTACAAACTTTCCCTCACTTATTACACGCTGTTGTTTTTCGTGTTAAGAACTAAAATATTACTGTGTTCAACAGTCTATAGTCTGAAGCGCTACATTAGATAAGCAGTTGCGGTTTCCGGGAAACAGTGAAGGCATCGTATCCCTCTCTAATCCAGTAAAACGAAACTGAAAGTTAGCAGCGGAAAACTCAATTTAAAATATGTTTTTACCATCCAGTCTGTTTTTGACTAATCAAATATTACACCAACATAGTAGATATTAACTAAACTAAATTAAAAAAAGTTAATATATGTTCCTTTGCACTTTTATTTGTAAGTTACACCGCGTGTCACGGACAAAAACATGGACTTTAAGGTCGAAATACTGAGTAGGATGTTGATCATAACTCACTATTGAGGCTCCCGGTTGTTCGCGGGTGTGTTCCGGGCTTCAGGGTCCTCTCTTCCGGGGTCCACAGGTGTCTGATCACCCCCAGATGTTCCAGGTGTTCCAGGTGTGGTGGTTCTCCCGGGGTTCTGCTGGTTCCTGGAGTCTCTCTGGTTCTGATAAGGATCCATGTCTGTGTCTCAGAACAGATGGTAAACAGGGACAGGGTCACTGAGATGCTGTTCTGTAGATTCAACTAACCTGTTATGTGTTTACTGCACATACAGCGGGGGGAGGGATTAATGGAACAGCGCCTTCTGCTGGAAGAACAGGGGGAGGGAGGTGTTCATTTAAAGGCCCAGTCTGTCCATTTGTGGACAGAAATACTTGTTATTTTGTATTTGCTTTATTATTATTACTATATGTGTGTGTATTTATCTTTCCCTTCTATTTGATGTATCTCATTGTAATGACGCCACACCTCAGGCCATTATGATTATAATGTATTATTCTTATTCATTTTCTCTCTGTGCTTTTATTTAAGTAGTTGATATGTAAACTGAGATATACATAGATATCTTAAAGTGAGATTATTGTCACCCATGGAGAGATGTATGTTATATGTGCAGTAACTAGTATGTTGTTGTTGACAATACAGAGAGTATTATAAAAAAAGAAATAATCTATATTCAAATCTAAAAATAAACATGTTTTTTTCCAACTGATCTAATTTTCTTATCTTAGGTTTTACCAGTCTTTTGAGTTCCTGAGCTGATCACGTGATACAATTTACCTTTATTGGATACTACTAATTAAGAATACACATTTACTTCATTCATGTTAACATTAAGTTCATTTATTTGCAATACTGTCCACCACAAAGTAACATGTAAACATTGTATTCATGTTTGTATTTTAGCCCCCTATAACTTGCACAATTGAATGCCGTAGATTTTCATTTAGCTGTTACTTGCATTTTTTGGTTTTCTATGTTTTGTATACATATTAAATGAGCATTGTTGGCTAATATATACTATTTTAATTACCCACCACTGCTTCTCTGTAATAGTTGTGCACATTGTTATCACTGAAATGAACCGTTTGAATATCCATCCCTCCATCTAAATACCTTTTTATTTTAAATACTGGCATTTTTCAGTCAGAAATATTGCTGTTTGACATCAGGTCTCGTCCATTCATGAAAATACTTATTGAACAATATGAATGATAGCAAGTTCCTGTGCTGGTGTTCTGGATATTGGTGCTGTGATAACTCTTGTTTACATCTAAAACGTATGGTAATATAAGTTAATTCATTTCTAGGCAGTACATTTAAAGACATTCCAGCTTCTTTTCTGTTCTTTAAAACAGTCACCTTGAGATCTGAGATTTTTCACCAGATAAAGACAAGACGATTAATTTGAGACAGTAAATTAACGAGCAGATACATTGTTAGTTGCTCCCCTTAATGACATCAGCACACACCCAGAGAAAAAGAATAACACGTGCATTATTTCTTCAAAAACTCATTTATTAAGAGTTATATTCTGACTTTAACATGATGATTTATTTGGCAGGTTATTGACATACGCACACACACAGGAAGGACAAATAAATACACCTCCAACAACTGACTGGTGAAGTTTAATAGCAGTATAAAATCTAAAAGCAATGCGTCTGTTAGCAGGCTGTGTGAGAAGAGTTGTTGTTGTATGTTGTGCTGCAGAACAGTTAAACGTCATGGTGTGCACGTCCATTTTCATGAGAGGAAAGTGTTGCTCGATGTACCGTTAAAACACAGCATGACAAATGAGAATGAATCGATGAATTTGACACTAAACGAAGCAGTCAGGGTGGAGAGGCTCCCTCACACACATTCTGTCACCAACAAATATTGACAACACACTCACAGGGGGAACTAGTGCATTCTGGGTAAAGACACTGGGTATTCACCCGGTGTCAGTCCTAATGTTTACTGTCTACTAGTTATGCGTTAACAGGGATGAAGGACTAGAGTGAACTCCTCTTCCTTCTGGACCAGAAACCTTCATCCATTAGACCCAAGGTTCCCGTCTTAAGTCTGTAGATCTCTCAGGGCAAACTCCTTCGTCTTCAGTGTTAACTCCTGTGTTTGAATGTGTGTGTGTGTGTGGGGGGGGGCGTGTGTGTGTGGGGGGGGGGGGGGGCGTGTGTGTAGGGAGATCACAGTTTGGGGGGGTTAGCCAGCTTGATCTTCAGGTTCTCTGCCAGCTTGTCCAGGAACTCAAAGGTGTTCAAGTAGTCGGCACGAGTCACACTGCAGAGAGAGAACAAGGAGAAAGGGTTGAGTGAACTTCAACGATACTTTGGGAGTGTGAATGAGACGGTACGTTTGTATACACAGCTGTATTAAAGAGGATTTATTCTAACAAGGAGACATTTAGTAGGACATACTCGTGTTGGGACTAAGGAACAAGTTTACAAACTCAATATGTACTGAAGCTTTCCAGTAATAAGTATTGACTGAGTTTATCGGTGACATGACTACAGGAAGTGTCATTTAATATACTTTTAGTTTTATTTAAAGTGGACCTATCATGCTATATTTGAATAATATATTGTAGGGCCATACCTATACAAAACATGTCTGTGAACTTTTAGTTTCAAAATACCAAACAGATCATGCATTTTAACCATTCGCTCTATTTGCTCTATTCCAGCCCTGTCTTCACAAGGGCTGATTCTGTGGCAAATGAGCTGCAGCTGACCACGCCCCCCGGCAAAGGAGGGGGGCGTGGCACGAGTGTCATGTTACCATGATGTTACCATGGTGTTACCATGCTGTTACCATGCCACGGCAACCTCCCATTCCCCTGATAGGTGGAGAGTTGCCCATATAGGCGGAGCTCCTTGTATCTGACGTCAGAGATATTTCAAATCTGTATCAGATCCATTGCAGCCCCGTTTTTACAGATTTGGGTATGGAGGAAAAGAGAGAGGGTTGAGTTCCCTGACACACCGGGGACACATATTCAAGTATACAAGACGTACAAAAGTGCATTTTGCATGATAGGTCCCCTTTAAGTGTAGCTTCTTGAGATACTCAACTTATGTTAGCCTCATTCAAACAGTGCATATCTTCAAGTGTTGCACTGGAGAACACTAAACATGTTTTCTCTTATGTTGACAGGCCATACATGTATCTACTACATTTAGGATTTCCTCTGCTAATGCAAGAAGACATTCATATGCAGTTATAAAATACCAACCTAATATTTAGCAGAAATAAGAAAACATACTATTTATTACAACAAAAATCCTATTTGACGGCCTGATGTTGTATGAAACAAACGGCTAGACTTGAGATGGTGGTACAACATGAGGTGACATTAAAGAATCTATGATGGCGTGTACAGGGGGAGCACTGCAGCGGGAAGAGCAGAAACACTTGTGTGTTAAGGAGAGACGAACTTTGACACATTTAGTAGGACAAACTGTACTGGGGATAAGGAGCAAGTTTACACAACTCAATATGTGCTAAAGCTTTCCACTAATAAGTATTGACTGACTTTATACATTGACTATTTAAGAAAGTGTCATTTATTTTACTTGTAGATACTAAACTTGTTAACCAAAGTCAAACAAGCTAGTGTTGTGCAAGTGAATACTGAAGATGCCATAATACAAAAATGCCATATCTACTGAATTATGGAATTTCTCTGCAAATGTCAAAAGACATGTTGACCTCAAATACAAACTTAATCTGTGAAAAGGAGCTTTTGAATGTCTTTCTCACACAACAAAGGCCATATTTAACTGCCTGATATTGTATGATCTGTGCAGCTTGACTTGTAATGAAGGTACAATGGTGGGTGAAACTCCAACCCCTAGTAAATGTTTGTCTACCCTCCCTCCCAAATGTAAAGCGTCTTTGGGTTCAAGAAAAGCGCTATAGCAATATAATTTATTATTATTAAATCCATTCTTATATACAGAGGAGGCGTGTGGCGCAGTGGGTTGTGCGTTGGTGTTGGGATCAGGGGGGCACAGGTTCAAACCCCACTGCAGTCAGCATGTCGTTGTGTCCCTGAGACCCTTCACCCCAAACTGCTCCTGTGGGGATTGTCCACAGTATTGAGTATGTAAGTCGCTTTGGATAAAAGCGTCTAACAAGTAGCATGTGATGTAATGTAGAAACGTTGTGTTGGATAAAGGACACAGCTGTGTATGCAAAATGTAACCGCACACTCCCAAGTGTATTTGATAATAATAATTATAATGACTATTGTCATAATTATCAGTTTACATAAAAATAGGATGAGAAATTAACTGTCTTGTTATCTGAACATGGACTTGTAGGAATTAATTTGTTTTACTTGATTATTTTATTTTCACCCTGGAAATGGGTGTCACATATGTATGTGTATGTATATATATATAGCATTGTGTTTTCTGTGTGAGTATTTCATTGTGGAATTACCTCCCGTTTCTACACATTTTGATTGTTTTTTTAGATATATAAACTGTTGAAATAGTATAATAGATAATACAAAATAAAAAAAACTAACTTTGCGAGTCCCTTGACGCAGATGGCCAGATCTTTGGTCATGAACCCGGCCTCGATGGTCTCCACGCAGACGGACTCCAGCGCCTCGGAGAAAACTCTCAGCTCTGAGTTTTTGTCCAGCTTCGCCCGGTGCAAAAGGCCCTGCGTCCACGCAAAGATGGAGGCTGGATAAAACACAAGATTAACACCTGAGCTTTTGAAAGGACATCCATAACATTCATCTGTCTGCAACTACACATTATTTATCTAATATATCACATTCCAATTACTTGTATATAGACTCTCCTTGCACTATTTCTATTCTATTTTATTTGTATTACTTACACTATTGTATCTCTGTGTGATTGTGTTGCTCTGTTGGAGGAGCCTGTGACCTCAGACTTTCATTGACATTTCTACACTTTTTAGTTTTTGTTTGTTTTGTTTTGAATTATGATGTGTTCAATGCCTATGTGAAGCACTTTGAATTGCCTCTGTATCTTAAAATGTGCTGTACAAATAAACGAACCTTGTCTTCTCACTTTGCTGTAACTCCATCATATACAATGTTGTTGCCTTGTTTTTAATCTGTAAAGCCCACTGAGGCAAACATGTTTTGTGATATTGGGCTATACAAATAAAGTTTGATTTGATTTCTATTTTACTTGCACTATTTCAACTATTGTATCTGTTTTATTGTGTTGCTCTGTTGGAGGAGCCTGTGACCTCAGATTTTCATTGATATATCTAAACCGTAGCTGTTAGA